TAGTAGGGGATTTAAGTTTAAGAACACAGATGTTTGAAAAGCAATTAATGAAAAGCAAGAGTTTAAAAAAAATTACAATCTAAGCACATTTGTGAATGTAAAGAGGGTGTCCTAGGTTTGTTTATAATATGGATCACATCAATGCAATACTCAGTATGACACTCCTCAAAGAGGTGCTATATGTGGTATTAACGCACTGGTCATCATGTCCATATCTACACTTTCCCGCCCCTTGAAGGTAATTAAAGCGAGGGTTGGTCTCGACCCCTATTGCATGTTGTTATCCGTCCCGTCCTATCAGTTCCGAAGGAATTTAGAACTCCTATCCTATAAAAGGGGGTTCTAGGCAAACCCTCAAGTTTAAAGGCAAAATGCTAAGGCGACATATAATAAACAAGTACGACATCAATTAAAGGGAGCATGGAAGACAAATGAAAGGCTCAAATATACCTTCACACACAGTACACATAAACAGCATGACTCATACACAGTTAAGGTCTGAATTCAGATCCTAAGCATGGTATCTAAGTGATAACAACAGAGTCATATTTATAACATAACTCAAATAGGAAGTCCTAATCAGGCTTGCCTACTGATTTTAACCTGCTGGCAGTTACACAAAGACAGTTCTGGCTTTTATGTAAGCTATATCACCTAATGCTTGCCTAGGCGTAAAATAATATGCAGTAGTTACCAGAATTATAAAACAGTTATTTTACCTAAAGCATGTTGTTCTAAATGTTGCAAAGACATGCAGGATTATGACTAGTTTTACTCAACAAGATAATCAAACATGAGACTGTTTTATGTCCTTTTCATGCATCAGTAGTTTAACTAGGTGTAACTGAGCGAGATCCTAAAAATAGGGTATCTAACGTGCACATATGAAAAATGCAGAATGATTGCCGCATATGTAGAATTCCTAGAGCATGGTTTCTAAGTGCAGGAGCAACAGTTTCATGTTAATGCTGTTATTTAGCATAAAGCAGGATTTTTAAGTGGTAAAGTGATGCCAAATGAGATGCTGAAACAGTAAACCTAAGAACATGGTATCTAATGCATGACATGCTTTGAATATGTTGATCTTACACATGGATTCTAATGCACATATAGGAAATGTAAACCTAAGACATGGTTTATACCCATTGATGTTGATAGCATATATAACTACTCTTCCCTTTTCACTAGCTAGCCCCAACACTTGTTTACAATAGATTATTACAGACCAATACTAAAATGAATTACTCAAGTAGAGAAGAAAAATACAAAGTTACACTACAGGGAGCCTGAAAACAAGCCCATATTTCCAGGACCTGATTAAGACTTCCTCTCTGAGTTATGTAATAAATCACCTCAAGTGCCAAGATTGTTCATAGCTTTTCCTCATATCTGGGTGTGTCAGAGTTCCCTAAGGACCTCAAGGGATCCCGGGCAGTGCTCACACCCAGATTTCATAGCCAATACAGAGTAAGTGCAGTGTGGAAAGGCCAGCTTTCATGTGTCCAAGTTCAGAGGGAGCTCAAGGGTCCCAAGACAAGGCTCACACAAAAGGGACAAAACTTAGTGGTCTAAGAGTAAGGTGAGAGTGCTTGACATAGTGATGAAAGACTTAGTAAAGCAATTTAGAAGTGAAAAGGTTCAGAAATAGTTTTTAAAGATACTAGGAGTTATCAGTTTTGAAATCATTCTTTGAGAAAAGCATACTCAGCAAACAACCCAATTAACTATAGAATACCCAGATTTACTTAACAAGCAGACTTACAAACAGTGGTGAAGGGATTGGGAACATATAGGTTTGAAACCACATAAATAGGGAACATTTGGCACAATAAATATACAGAACAACTATGAGTCTACTGAACAAATCAGTCATGGTAACAGACATTTAAAACATAGGGAAGAATGCAGCAGGATCATGTGGAAGACAAGAGTTTTGTTGAACAAAATTTGACATACCATTAGGGCCAATAGAATGCACTAGAAGGCTAAGTAACTACATGTTCATACCAGTTAAGGGAAGGGTAAGGGAACTAAGTGAACATGCCAGACAAGTATTAAAGAACTAAGTAAAGTCTGATATGATGATTACACATAAGGGTAGAATTTAGACGTGCTTAATAACAGCAAACCTAGAAACAAATTGAAGAACTAGTATAGTAACAAGCATGGATGTATAGACATGGAACACATAAAGTTGAGTTTCAAATTTAAACTAGAGACATACCAGTTAAGGAAGAAAAATGCAGAAAGTAAAGCAAGTAGAGTTTCATAGTCTAGCCTTGGCTTTCAGCCGGCTAGACAAGCAGTTAGCACAGGTAGCAGAGAAGAGAATTTTTTTATGTGTGTGTGTGTGTGTTTTGAACTAATTGTTCGTGTGTTAAGACTGTAGAAGAGAGTCGTTTATATAGTAGTTTGAAAACTAGTTAAAAATAAAGTAAGAATCAATTCTTCAGTAATTATAGAACTCAGTATAAAAAATTGGTTCGAATCTCCCTTTAATTAAGGGAGTCAGTGAAAATGGTAAAGAGCGGGTGGCAAGTAAGGAAAGAAATCATACACGGTTGGAGTATAACAAATAAAGAAAGATTTCAAAATAGTACCAGTATAGAGCTGGTAATTAAGGCTAGGTTCAGAAAGTTTTTAAACTAAGGAAACAATTAGTAAGAATTAAGTAGCAATGCAGACAAGGCAAGGTGAAATTAAAAAGGAAAGGGTGCGTTTGAACCGTTGATCTGGGAGATCAACGGTCGAGATTAAAAAGGGTAGGTGGGTTTCGTGTTTGGGTAAGGGTTAATATGGTATGGGTCGGGTGATCCGGGTGTGAAATTGGGCTGGAAAGGGGTCCAATTTTGGCTATAATTGAAAGCCAAATTTGGCTGTTATTTAAATAGCCAATTTTTCCCCATTTAATTTATAAAAAAAATAATAGGTAATTTCTGGAAAATAAATTAAGGTGCCAAAATGAATTAAAATAAATAATTAACAATTTAAAAATACATGGTCCAATTTTATGCATATAGAACATAATTAAATCTTAAAAGGGCTAATATTGCAATTATGTGCAATTTGCTTTAAAAATACTAAATGTATTTATAAAAATTACCTTAGCTATATTTTGGCATAAATATAGAAATCCAATAGATGAATTATCAAAACAATAATTTTGGAAATAATTATTGGGGATTTTTGGGATAAAAAGGGAGAAAATAAATCAATTTAAAGCCTTAAAATTATGGCAAAAAATAATAAAAAGCTTAGACATGCTTATATATGCATATATATGCTATTTTGAATGTATTTTGCATATTTAAAATATATAGGAAAAAATTGGGTATCAACAACGGTAGCATAGGGTTTCGAAGTCTCTTGCTACGTCTTTTCCAACATAGGGTCCCATCCCCTAGTCGATACTAGCATAACCTGGTAATCTTTTTCAACTTAGGGTCCCATCCCCTAGTCGATGCTAGCATAACCTGATAATCTTTTCCAACATAGGGTCCAACCCCTAGTTAATCCCGACATAACCCGATGACCTTTCTGGAATAACCCGATGACTTCCCCGGCATAACTCGAGGACCTTTTCGGCATAATCCGATGACTTTCCCGGCATAACCCGAGGACCTTTCCGGCATAACCCGATGACTTCCCCGGCATAACCCGAGGACCTTTCCGGCATAACCCGATGACTTCCCCGGCATAACCCGATGACTTTCCCCAGCATAACCCGAGGACTTTTCCGGCATAACTCGAGGACTTTCCCCGGCATAACCCGAGGACCTTTCCGGCATAACTCGATGACCTTCCCGGCATAGCCCGAGAACCTTTTTGGCATAACCCGATGACTTCCCCGGTATAACTCGAGGACCTTTCCGGCATAACCCGATGATTTTTCCAGCATAACCTAGTAATCTTTTCCAACATAGGGTCCCACTCCCTAGCTTTGCCAGCATAACCTGGTAAGCTTTTCCGGCACATGGTCCCACTCCCTAGCTGATGCTAGCATAACCTGGTAATCTTTCCAACTTAGGGCATCCGATTCCCATTTGATTTCATTTCAGATATAGGGTCTCCACTCCCTAATCTCTTTTTCTTAAGGACACACAATCTTGATTTTATTGCTTTCATTAAAGAAATAGTTTAGATTTTGTTGCAATAACTCACAAAATTTTCCTAGTGAAAACTGGGGCAGAAAAATTTCATTCGTTTAAGATGACCAAAAGAAGAAGTCTCAATCCAAATAAAAGAAAAGAAGAACGGGAAAAAAAGTGAACTCTAAGTGTAGAAGTGGAGAAAAGATACAGACTGCTCAAGATATGATTGAAGTCACAAGCTTTTCATGTCCCACCTTGATCCGAAAAGCTGAGGAAGAATGAATCAACGGTTGCAGCTAACGAGCATCAAGATTCAAGTCAGAGTCTACAGGAAGAACCAGCCAAGACTCAAAATCAAGCTTTAGAAGGTTTATAGATAGAAATCTTGTAACTCGTAGTTGATAGACTTAGCTAGTTTAGTTTTTTATTTTTTATTTTGGTGTAATAAGGAGCTCAGCAAGCAGAAACAGCAGCAACAGCAGTGAAATCAAGATGCCATCTTAGGTTCAATTTGCATGTAAGAATTAATTTTATTAAACAAAATTATAAAAATATTACTACAATAGTCATGTCCACATTTTAGCTTTAGTTTTAAATTAATTAGTGTTAGATTAGTAAAAATAAGTAAGATTAATTTTACAAAATAATAAGTTAGAGCCTAAATTAGGATTTTATTTAGCTTGTTTAATTAATTCAATTAGATTTTTGAAATCAAAAGAAAAAGAAAAGAAGTAGATTTTGTCTTCTAATTTCATTTGGGCAAGCTTAATTTGAAGCCCAAAATTTAATTTGAAACCCAAAAATCCCAAATTACCAAAGCCCATACAATCTCAGTCCACTACTCAAATGCTCATTCCCCTTTATTAAAACCCTCCTACTGCACTCTAATATATACAGACAGAGCTAAGACAAAAATCATAAGACCCTCTCCAAAAAAAAGAACGGCGCACCTTCCCTGGGTTTTCTTATTCATTTTCATTTCTCAAAACACCACAGAACCCCCTCTCCTTCCTCATCTCACTCATCTGATAGCACACACTCAAAGAACAGAGAACACGGACAAGAATAGGAGTCGGACAGAATTTTTATAGAGGGAGCTCGAACCCAAATCTGAGGTCCTAAAATCCAAAACAAAAAAGGGTAGAGATTTAGATTGATTTTGCATTCAAACAGTTCGAAAAAGCAGAAAATGTTATGGTTTGTTCTTGTTGATTCAAGGAATCTTTCTTTGTCATTTCGTTGAATTTCGAGTTTGGTTTGAATCCGAAATTGAAGTTGAGTATGTTGTTCTTGAGCTGTTGAATTCCGTGTTCAATTCCAGCCTTTATTTGGGTTGTTTTTTTCTACAATTTCCCTGCTATTAGGTATGTATTCCTTTAAGCTATGTTCAGATTTACTATGATATGGAATTGTGTTTATTGTCTAGCTCATTTTTTTAAGCTATGGTCGAATTCGATTTCATCTGTTATTGCTATTAGAACCCTATCTGTTTTCATTTTTTTTTTTTGGTATGAAACTTGCATAATCAGCTGGGTTGAAAAATTAGTGGCTCGGTAGTTGTTGATTAACACGGATTATAATTATATCCTTCATGATTAGATATGTATTTTATCCGTAAATTAGTTAATTTCACATCTCCTTATGGATTAGAGTTAGAACTTAAAATAAGATAGTAGTGGAAAAGAACAAACTTTGGAGGTTCAGGAATTCTGCAACTAAGATTCATATCATTAAATGATAATCTCTCCTTCACTCGTTTAAGTAGATTCGTAGTAATGTTAGTCCCATTCAATGTGTGAAGAACTGCTCTTTCTCCTTCCCTGTGACTGTTATTCTCAATCTTGCGCTCTCTATGCTACACTAGCAAGTCTGGTCTCATGTATCAAGTTATGCTCTTTCTTTTAGCTTTTTTTCCCCTTTTCCTTAGGACTTTCAGATTCCGGTATGAACTTTACATTTTCATGAGATCATGTGGGAAGGGTCCATTCGCGAGAAGCTTTATTGTCCGATATCTTCTTCTCTTTTCAATTATTTTAGGTTTTCTTTACCTCTTTTAGTTGTTTACCTACTGAATTTTTCTCTTTCTTGACATGTGCAACTCTATTAGGTCTGGTAAAACATTTTCTACTATGTCTTTTGTTAATCTACTATGCCTTGTGATATTCCTTATGCATGGCAACTGTCTGATAGTGGCTTTTGTATGAACTGGAAATATTAGGAGCTTGTTATATGGATTCACAAAACTTAAATAAATGTTTGAAAATAACCATTGCGGGATTTGGAGGAGAAAGTAACATGGAGACTTTGCATAATCTTGTGGAGCGCTTGAAGAATCCTCAACATATACTTGTTTTAAAAAATAGGGAATCCTTAAAATGTAGAGAATCACAGTGCTTTAATCTTCTGTCAACATTTGAGGAGAATACCAATTAAGCTCCAATTAATCATGAACAATCGTAGCATGCTTTAGGCACGATTAATAAACCATCATGATTATGGGTATGGTTCCCTGACATAGTTACGATGCCTAATTTCTTAAATTCGGGTGTGCATTTCATGTGACCCGATCATAACAACTTCGAACAATAATAAATAAACATGTCGCAAATTGCGGGTGCATATCATGTAGTGCGGTTTGTGATGTGTCCCAAAACAACAAGTGTACGACAATCGTAACTTATTCAAGAAATAATTCCGTAAATCCTAAAAATAGTTTAAATAAATAAAAGCGGTTATAAAAGTTAAAAAATGCACAATAGGTTTAAAATATGTAATAAATCAGATATTTAGGCCAATTATTAATAGTTTAAGCGACCGTGCTCGAACCACGGAATCCGGGAATATCTAACACCTTCTTCCGAGTTAACATAATTCCTTACATAGAATTTCTGGTTTCGCAGACTTTTAAATAAAGTCAAAATTCTTCTCGATTTGGGATTTAAAATAAACCGGTGACTTGGGACACCATAAAATTATTCCAAGTGGCGACTCTGAAATAAATAAAATAATTCAATTTCGATTTATGTTACTTCAATTGTCAAAACTCCCTTATATACCCTCTTTCGGGTGGTAGAAAGGAGGTGTGATAGCATGGACAATTGGAAGGGAGTCCGGACATGGCCATCTTTGCCTTGTGTAGTCATCATACCCTTCAGAATGGATTTCAAGAGTCGCCTTCCTTGACCTCTGCATTTGCCATGAATTCAATGATCTTATTCCTGGATAGCCTTTCATCCATCTGAAGGACCATGTCCTTCCAGCCCTGAGCAGCTAGTGCATCCACCAATCAAACCATTCCTAATTCCATCAAGTCTTTCAACAATCTACCCTTCAAAATGTTTCTTTTGTCAAACTTGGCTAGCTTGTCTTGTTCACCATCAGACTCACTCTCTTCTTCACCACTCTATTCTTCATCCTCAACAATTCTATCCCGTTTGTTTTTCACTACAGACCTTGTCCTCTTGGCCAATGAAGGATCAACAGCCTTAGACACAGATGAAGACTTCTTGAAAGAAGTCTTGGTCTTTTTGGGCTTGGGGGTCTGAACCTCCACAGTTGTGTGTTCCTCCTGATGGACCTGCTCCATCTCCTCAACATCAACAGCCTCATAGGGCTCTGCAACCTTAGCTTTTCCTTTATCCATCCTTTCTTCTTCTTTTCTGCCATAACCTTTTGTAACTTACTCTCACTCTGCTTCATCATGCTTCGTGTGGCCCTTCTTTTTGGTAAAGAAATCTCAGCAGTTTTTGGAGAAGAAGTCTTTCTTTTCTTAGAAGATTTTGCAGTGCTGGGGCTTTTGGCATTGAGGTTCTCCTTTTCTTTGGATCATAACTAGCACCTACTTTCTTCAGAAGGTCTGTTAGGGTCTCCTCAATAGATGAACCAGGTTCATCTGCATGTGCACTTAGATTAACCAACCCTTCAACAGTCTCCCCTGAACCACTTCCCCCTGTCTTCTTGCTACTTTCTTCTACAGTTGCATGTTCAACACCACAGATAGCTGGTACCACCAATTTAGAAGTGGGTGAAGAACCAGCCACTTCTTTCCCTTTTCCCCTCACATCACTACGCACACCCTCACCCTCACTCTCCTTTTCTTTTTCTCTTTTATTTTTATCACCTCTCCTTCTTGACTCAGGCAATTACACATTCCTAACAGACCCAACTAGAACAAACCTATTGTCTAAATTCTAAACCAAAGCAGAACGTACCTAAGAAAGGGAGTTTTGAGCCTTCTCAGAGTCAGAAGACCCAGTTCCTACCCCCCTTACTCGTAGATTTGAACGAATCGTCTGAGTTCTCAGAATCTTGGGCTTGGCTTGCCTTTAATTTCTCGTTTAATCTCTTTGAAAGAGCACCAGTTGCCACCGTTTTGCGGGCAAGCATTTTTACTCGCCTTCTCCTAGGTTGAAGGGTTGTGCTAGGTGGAGGAGGGGTGGATGAATCAGATGGGGTGGGTTGTGGAGGAGTGCCTGAGTTATCTTGGGGATTAGTCATCTTGCTAATTCTAGAAGAGAATTTGTGAATTGGGGTTTTGGAAGAGAGAAGAATAGAGTGCAGAAGAAATTCGATGGTTTTAGAGAATTATGAAAGTGGTAGTGTGACGACCCGGCTAGTCGTCTCATGAGTTACCACTCCGTATCCCCCATTTCTGCTTCTTTATGCTTTGTTGTTCGTGTTTTGTGGTATCGGGTTGGTCGGATCGAATCCGGAATGATTTTGGTAAGGTTTGAGACACTTAATCTCTTTTAAGGAAGCTTAAGTTGGAAAAGTCAACAGGATGTTGACTTATGTGTTAGAGGGCTTGGATGTGAGTTTCGATGGTTCGGTTAGCTTCGAGAGGTGATTTATGACTTAGGAGCGTGATCAGAATGAGTTTCGGAGGTTCGGAGTAGATTTAGGCTTGAATTGGCGAAGTTGATATTTTGGCGATTTCCGGTTGGTAGGTGAGATTTTTATATAGGGGTTGGAATGGAATTCCGAGAGTTGCAATAGTTTTGTTGAGTAATTTGGGATGTGCGTGCAAACTTTCAGGTCATTCGGACGTGGTTTGGTTGGGTTTTTGATCAAAAGCGGAATTCGGAAGATTTTAGAAAATTTGGCTTGAATCCGATGTGTTTAGGTTGATTCGATGTTGTTCGAGATGTTTTGAAGATTGGTACAAGTTTGAATAAGGTATTAGGATATGTTTGTGCTTTTGGTTGAGGTCTTGGGGCCCTCGGGATGATTTCAGATGGTTAACGGAGAAGTTTGGACTTTGTTGCAGCTACTGAATTTGTTGCTTCTAGTATTTCCACACTTGCGGATTGGGGACCGCAGGTGTGGCACCACATAAGCGGAGGAATTGATCGCAAAAGAGAAAATGGCTCGAGGAGCAGGAACCGCAGAAGCGGGTAAGTGGACCGCATTTGCGATGTCGCAGATGCGGGTAGGGGACCGTAGATGCGGACTAAGGTCAGTAAGTGATTTCAAACCTTATTTACTTTAGTTACTTAGTGAGTTGGCGTACTGACATACTCCCTGCACCTTGTGTGCAGATCCAGGTGCCCGAGCGGCAGAGTGAGGGTCCTCAGCATTTTCAGAGTTTGTCGGAGACTGCAAGATAGCTGCATGGCGTCCGCAACCTTGCTTTCTTCCTCTTATCCTTCTTTTCCTGCATTTTAGACTTGTTATGTATTAGACAGTCAGATTTGTATATTTAGAGGCTCTAGACTCGTGACACCAGATTATGGGGCTGTGTAGTTTCCTGTTATTTGACTTCCGCATATTTCCTGTTGCTTTAAGCGTTTATAATGAAATTGGGTATTTAAAAACTGTGTTAGAAAATGGCTTATTGTTAAAGGAAAAGGGGTTGTGATTCATTGATTGATTGGCTTGCCTAGTAATCTGATAGGCGCCATCACGACTGGTATTTGGGCCCGTGACAAGTTGGTATCAGTGCTTAGGTTACATATGTCTCGCGAGTCATGAGCCGGTTTAGTAGAGTCTCACGGATCAGTACGGAGATATCTGTAGTTATCCTTGAGAGGCTGCAGAACCTTTAGGAAAATTCTTCATATTCTTGAAATTCTTGTCGTGCGAACTTGTTGATCCGAATACTAAACTTCTGTTATTCCATTCTCTCACAGATGGTGAGGACACGTGCTATTGAGCAGGGTGGACGACCACCAGTTCCACCAGTTGGGGTCACCAGAGGTCGAGGACGCGATCGAGGCCGTGGTAGGGGCAAAGCAACTAGGGCAGCACCTGCAGACCCACCAGTTGCCCCAATTCAGGATCAGGTCCCAGTTGTAAATGCTAGGGCAGCACCAGCTTAGGAACCAACTGTGCCCATTGTGATTCCAGGCCTTCAGGAGGCTTTAGC